TCATCTGTGAAGTGGTCCAGGTCCACTTAGTTAGAGTCTTCCTGGAATTCACCAACATCCTTGGTCCAATGAGGCATGAGGGCAGAAGAATTTGCCAATGGCCCCTTGAGTATGTCTTTGGTGGGGACAGGGGGTGATGGGATGTTAGATTCTCCTCTGTCGCTTACTTGAGAATGGAGAGGGAAACCCATGGAGGCCAGAATATGTGGGGCTTAATCATGAGGGAGGAAGTAGAAGTCCCTGTTTTATAATTGGATTAATGAGAGATAGGTTCCCTAACCTCTGAATGAAGCAGTTGGGAAATTGACTTTTGCTTTTCTCAGAAACTCCCCAGAGAGAGGGTGCTAGAAAAGTTCAGGGAATTCAGTTCTCTGACCTCAACTTTCCATTTCAAACATCTTAAATGCTTCGGGCCTCTCAGTCCAGCAGTCATGTCCTCAACTCTCCTTTTAGTGAGTTTTAGGGCGGACTGACTCTGTTCTATTCCCCTACAACTTTCTTAGCAAGAAAGTCATTAAGGGCTGGACTTGGCACATGGAGGGGTGGCATCAATGGCACGTGGTGAATCCTTAGGGAGAGGATCAGCATTTAGCAGTGCCTTTTAGGGGTGGAACGATTCCAAGTCAGCTACATTTATTGAGCCCTTACCATGGATGGGCAGATCTTCAGGTGGGGTCTTTGAGACACATTGGTGCCTTCTGTTGTTACTCTTGCTTCCACATGTTTTCACACATGGTGAGTCTACATAGATTTGCTCACTCTTTCAGCTGATGAGGCAGACCTTAGACATCACCCCTTAAAGCCTCAGCTGCTTAGTTAAAGGACAGGGTGACAAAGTTACTTTATAGTTTAGCTTTGAGCAGATGTTACAGTCATTCGCACCAGAGCCACTGGTAACACGGCCAACATGGAATAGTTTGCAAAACTAGTTTTCTGAATCAACAGCTGAATAATGTATTTTTTTTTTTTTTTTTTTTTTTTTGAGACGGAGTCTGGCTCTGTCACCCAGGCTGGAGTGCAGTGGCCGGATCTCTGCTCACCGCAAGCTCCTCCTCCCGGGTTTACGCCATTCTCCTGCCTCAGCCTCCGGAGTCGCTGGGACTACAGGCGCCCGCCACCTTGCCCGGCTAGTTTTTTGTATTTTTAGTAGAGACGGGGTTTCACCGTGTTAGCCAGGATGGTCTTGATCTCCTGACCTCGTGATCCGCCCGTCTCGGCCTCCCAAAGTGCTGGGATTACAGGCTTGAGCCACCGCGCCCGGCGAATAATGTATTTTTTAAGCAATATTCTTTTGATAAATTCAAAGGATCTGGCTAAGATGTTCTCTTATCCGGCCTCCTACGGGAGAAAAAAAAAGCATTAGCCTATCTGAGCCTGAATGGAGATTAGTCTATACAGAAATCTAAAGTTTGCTGGGAAGAAATCTTGAACCAAGATCTCCAAGTTTTAGACTAGTGAACAGTGACACACTATTTGGATTTATTTGATCTCTTTGTCTTTAGACTTTGTTAGTGAAATAAAACTTTTTTTTGGGATGACTTGGTGCAAGGGAATTAGTGTTCTGCTTACAAAAAAAAAAAAAAAAAAAAATCTAGAAGATAAGTTAAGAATCAAGACCACAAACAATGTTCAAGGAAGTTCATTCACCTAATCTTTAGTGGGGCATGCTTGGAATTAGTTTCAAAAAGAGGAGCTTATTTTTTTTAGATTAGATACCCTCCCTGCATGTACTTTAACCTCTGTACTGTTTATAGGACATCTCCAGTGTCTTAAAAATAGATGTAATAGCAGATGGAGGATTCAGGGATCACTCCAAAACCACTTCTTAACATCTACCGTGTTCTCAGCTGTGTGCAACGTGCTATAGAGGATGTAACAGACACTTAACCAGTCTTCAAAAGCTTACGTCTTCACTGATGTGCATGAACAGATGTGCATGAACTAGATAGAGAATAATTGGTGATAAAGTCTTAGAGCTTAGACCTCAAGTCCCAAAGGCAAATCTTGCAAAGAGTGCTTTCCCTGGCAGCCCAGTTTGGCTGACTCCTGAAACATTCTCTCCTCTCCAGGGCGTCTAAGCTCTGCACAGGCTGCCTGGGAAGAAATTACACCTTTGGCAAGTAGATAACTGAAGTCAGATCACATTTTTTGTTTCTCCTAAAAGTTTTATTTTTATTTTAGAAAATTTAATTTAATTTTAAGTTCTGGGATACATGTGCAGGACACGCAGATTTGTTACACAGGTAAATATGTGCCATTGTGGTTTGCTGCACCTATTAACTCACCAAAGACTTAGAAGCAGAAATACCATTTGACCCAGCAATCCCACTGCTGGGTATATACCCGCATGAATAGAAATCATTCTGTTATAAAGATGCATGCACACGTATGTTCATTGCAGCACTATTCACAAAAGGAAAGACAAGGAATCAACCCAAATGCCCAATGCCCATCAATAATAGACTGGATAAAGAAAATGTGGTGCATACACACCATGGAATACTATGCAGCCAGAAAAAGGAATGAGATCATGTTCTTTGCAGGGACATAAATGGAGCTGGAAGCCATTATCCTTAGCAAACTAACACAGGAACAGAAAAGCAAACACTGCATGTTCTCACTTATAAGCAGGAGTTGAACAATGAGGACCACACTTTTGTAAATTTTCTTTCTTCCTGACATTTTTTTTTTTTTTTTAAAGATTTTACTCTTCCACTTGGCTTTGCCTTTGTTGTAAACATGATTCTCTTCCTTGTCCACGTTATTATTCCATTCTGGAAGCTGGATTTTGGTGAGCACCAGGTGGAAGAGTCAATGGATTTCATGATCTTTAAAGTAAGTGTTGAATGGGAAACTGAGACGCCTAGTTCTAGTTCAGGCTCTGCACCAACCAGCTGTGTGACTCTGGGCCCCAGATTCCTCTTCTGTAACATGAAGAATCCATGAGCCCCTTCCAGATTTGACAGCCTATGATGACTCTGCACAGGAAACTAGGATGGAGAGAGGCTTCTGCATCTGACTTCTCTGTAATAGGATACCTTTGGAGGGAAGAATGTTGGAAAAGGCCCGTCAGTCCAATCTTATTTTTCAAAACCTCACAGTACATGAGGTTCTATGACAGGAAAAGTAAAATAAGAAACCACAACGCAGGGACTGGATTCATTTTAAATATTTAGAAATTTTCACAGACATTGTTTACTGAGGTCAGGCCCTCCTTAAGATTCTGTGTGTATCCCCGTTTTAGGTTTCCTTAACTGTGAATCCTGGAAATGTCCATTTAATGTGCTGTCTGATTAGAACGCAGACTTATGTTTCAGGGTCTCTCCCTTTGGCCCTGCCAATTAAAAAGTCAGTATTAAAGTATTTTAGACACCGCAGGTAACATGTCACTACCATCGTCAGTGGTTTACACATCTAGTGACCTCTTTATGAAATTATCTCTCAAAGGTTTTTCATTTCCATGCAGAGGTTTAATATATGTTAATTTCCTTTTAAAAATTCTACTCTAAATCGATTCAATTTTTAGCTTTTTAAGACAATTCGATGATTATATTGTGTATACGTCTTGTTCTGTTAACCTTTAATAGCCTTGGATTAAAAATACAACAACTAATCTTTTAAAATCAGAAGACGAAAGTGGTCCTTGCAAATCCTCTGAGAGGACCTCTCATTGATACTCCAAACCAGAAGTAATTAAAGAAACAGAGAACATTTGCTTTCAAGCTAAATTTCTCAGAAAATACTCACCTAGTGATAGAGTCATTGTTCCCGTGAGGATGAAACCTGCCCATGTAAGATTCCTGCCTTCTGTATAAACATCCTGTGTGTGAAAGATTGGTATATGGCAGAAGGATCAGCTGGGTACATAGAGGAGCATGGTGGGGAGCTAAAGGGAGGGCACAACAATGAGGGGATGGCATTATGGCTGTTTTATAGATCAGGAAACTGAGGCTCAGAGAGGTTTCATCACTTGTTCCAAGCCACACAGCTCCTCTGTGGACCAAGGTCTGTATTTTTGAGACGTAAATGCTTCTACCACACCTCTGACTTCTGCAGAGTACCTTATAGTGGTTCATCATATCAATCTTGCCTTATACTATCACGTGGAATGAGTTTTCTACACTGAGTGCTAACATTTCTCAACCCCAACCTCAAATCTGTGAAGCTAACCAGGTTCCCTAAGAGGCATAAGAAAGAAACTGAGAAGAGGAAAGGAAAATCACGAAGCCTCAACCACTGCCCTTGGAGGAAGGTATGGAGAAGGGGAAATTCATGAGGCCATAACAAGTCAGAAGGCATTTCAATAATTAGTTAAATTGGGGTAAAATACACAACAGGATTTACCATCTTAACAATGTTTAAGTGTATAGCTAAGTAACAATAAAATACATTCACATAGTTGTTCAGCCATCACCACCTTTCATTGCCCCAAACTGAAACTACCGTGAAAACACTAACTCCACATTCTTCCTCCCCATGCAGTCCCTGGCAGCCACCATTCTACTTTCTGTCTCTATGAATTTGACTATGCTAGGTACTCTAGGTGCTGTATAAGTGGACTTATACAGTATTTTTATTTCTGTGACTTAGCACGTCACTTAGCATATTCAGTCCCATTTTATAACATAGTTGACTGTTCTAAGGGCTTGTTGTAGATGCTTAACCCTGGGACCCTTTAATCAGAACCCTGGGACATAACGAGTCTGCACAAGCAGAGGCAGACGTCAGGCACTCTTGAGGCATAGGAGATGTAGTGGAAGCATATATATTTTGAGAAACACAGATCTGGGCTCGAATAAGAGCTGTGTGGCTTTGGGCAAGCGACTAGACCTCCCTGAGTCTCAGTTTTTTCTTATCGATAAAATGTCCTCTGATTTTTCTTGTAAGCATTCAATCAACATGTGCTAGATCAGCAAAAACACTTCAAGGCAGCAACACTACAAAATCGAGGCCTATGTTGGGAATAACATCAAGCAGCTGATATTTGCTATTTTGTTCACTTGTCTCAGAACACGTTTTGGGGAAAACCGAGGGAGAGAACAAACTCAAGAGGGAGCAGAATGGTGATTGTCCTCAGGCCTGGGAAGGATGTTTCTAATGATTGAGGAGAGCTCTTTGATTTCTGTGATTCCAGGCTGTCGGCTCCTGTGCTTTAAACTATGGCTGCTACAAAAAATGTGACTGAAATAATTTTCCTGGGATTTTCCCAGAATCGGAATGAGCAGAGGGTCATTACTGTGATGCTCTCCTCATGTACACAGCCGTTGTGCCGGGCAATGGCCTCATTGTGGTGAACATCCTGGCCAGCAAAGGGCTCACCTCACCCATGTATTTCCTCCTCAGCTATGTATCCTTTGTGGAGATCTGTTACTGTTCTGTCGTGGCCCCCAAGCTTATCTTTGACTCTTTTATCAAGAGAAAAGTAATTTCTCTCAAGGGCTGCATCACCCAGATATTTTTCCTCCATTTCTTTGGTGGCACTGAGATCTTTCTCCTGATGGTGATGGCCTACGACTGCTATGTGGCCATCTGCAAGCCCTTGCACTACACTGCCATCTTGAACCAGCAAATGCGTAGCCTCTTGGTGGGGGTAGCATGGGGTGGGAGCCTGCTGCATTCTGTTGGGTAAACCTTCCTCATTTGCCAGCTCCCCTTCTGTGGCCCCAACATCATCGACCACTGCTTCTGTGATGTCCACCCAGTGCTGGAGCTGGCCTGCGCAGACTGCTTCCTCATTAGCCTGCTGATCACCACCAATGGCGGCTCCATCTCTGTGGTCAACTTCTTGGCGCCGATAGCTTCCTACCTGATCATCCTGCACTCCCTGAGGAGCCACAGCTCGGAGGCGCGGTGCAGGGCTCTCTCCACCTGTGCCTCTCATGTCACAGTTGTGAGCCTGTTCTTCATGCCTTGCTCCTTTGTATACATGAGGCCCTGTGTCACCCTCCCTGCAGATAAGATAGTCGCCGTATTTTACATGGTGGTCACACCTCTCTTAAACCCTGTCATTTACTCCTTTAGGAATGCTGAAGTGAAAAACGCCATGAGGAGACTCGTTGGGAGAAAAGTAATTTGGGAAGAGAAGTAGATGATTTAGTTAGGGAAAATAGGAGGAGCAGGGGATAGGAAATTGGGGCACCTAAGATCTCACTCTGCATCTACCTTGCCCAATGGAGTGAGTGGCCTTGGGCCAGTTACCTGCTTTTTTGAAGTTTCAGTTTCCTCATCTTACGGGGTTGGACAAGATTGAAGGGGTCTCTAGCATGGAGTAAGAGGGGTCTTCTCATACTGTACTTCCAAATCTGACAGTGGTCTCCAGACAGATTGGCTGGTCTAGAGAGAATAAACTCTTCCAGAAAACCAGGTCAGCCTGGGAATGGTGAAGAGGGAGGTAGAGGTTGAGAATGACTGTCTCGGGGAGCAGTAGTCAATATGTCCTACCAGTTTGAACATTCACATGATTGGAAAGTCTCTTGACTTGACATACTGAAGTTTTGCTGAGAGGGTTTTGGGCAGGCAAGCTGACTGAGAACGGTTTAGTCCTGAGAATGGAAGACGTTGACTCTTGTCAAGAGGTTCGCATGAGCTCATACTAGCATTAGACTTGGGGTTCTCAAGAATCCAAAAGAACCACAGGGAGATTTTAAGTGAATGGAAGGCACTGGATGATAATATCGATTTTGTAGGCACAGGTTTTATTTTCCATGTATCATTAACATTTTGTTTCCTATTATAAAAATCTCTCCTGTTCACGCTTGTTCCCCCTTTAACTCCCTGTTTTCCCTCCTTCTGGCTCTTATTGTTTAACCTTTTCATTTTCTCAGTCTGTTGGCCTCTTGGCTTCTTGTAATCATATACATGGTTAGAGCTGACATAGTTGCATTTATCATATGTAGGGCATTATGACATGTAGGTATAGGAGGGGGTGTTATTGCCCCTATTTTACAAGGAGAATTTACTCAGAAAATGTCTAAAATCACAGAGTAGGTAGAGTGAGGATTTGAATTCACATTGTCTGATTCTGGAAGTCATGCTCCTTTTTTAATCATCCCACATCTGTACCATCAGGGAGTCTAGCCCACACCTTCCTTTTAAATGGTAGGAAACTCTTTGAATCTTTAGTGCACCCGAAAGTCATTTGTATTTTAAATCATTTATTCTATATGCAATCTTATAAATCCTTTAAAAATATGACTTTGATGACTTTAGATCATCATATGACATTGATATTGAAAACTTAAGTTGTTCATAATATTCTCTCATTATCCTTTATTTTCTGCAGAATTGTAGTGATATCCTTTTGCCTTCCCAGTATTAAAAATTTGTGCTTTTTTCTTTTTCATTTCATTTGTTTTGTTAATATTTGCAAAGGACCATTGTTTCACTTCATCTAAAGTTTTTCTGTTTTTGTTTTCTCTGATTAATATCTGTTATCTTTCCTATATCCTTCCCTCTAGATTGTATGAGGAGTCAGGTAAAAACTTAGCTCGTTGATTTTAGAACTTACTTCCTTTCTAATGTAAGAATTTAAAACTAGGATGGAACTGGAGATCATTAGGCTAAGTGAAATAATCCAGACATGGAAAGGCAGACATCACATGTTATGACTTATTTGTGGGATCTAAAAATCCAAACAACTGGACTCATGGACATAGAGAGTAGAAGGATGGTTACCAGAGGCTGGAAAGGGTAGTGGGAGAGTGAGGGGGAGGTGGGGATGGTCAATGGGGAAAAAAAGTAGAATAAATGAGACCTACTATTTGATAGCACAACAGGGTTACTATAGTCAATAATAACTTAATTGTATATTTTAAAATAACTTAAAGAGTGTAATTGGATTGTTTGTAACTCAAAGGATAAATGCTTGAGGGGATGGGTATCCCATTCTCCATGATGTGCTTATTTCACTTTGCATGGCTGAATCAAAACATCTCATGTACCCCATAAATATATCTATCTACTATGTACCCACAAAAATAAAAAATAATAATTAAAGAGTTTTAAACTATAAACTTTAAAAAACAATACTTTAGCTGCATCCCACAAAATTTCACAAGTATTTTTATCATTCAGTTTAAAACATAATCTCATTTTTAATGATTTCTCCTTTAACCAATGGATTATTTAAAACTATGTGGTTTAATTTTCAATTATTTGGGATTTTTCCTTGATATCTTGTTGTTATTGAATCCTAGTTTAATTCCGTTGTGGTTAGAGAGTATTCTGAATAATGCCATTCCTTTTACATTTGTTAAAACCTGTTTCATAGCCAAACCTAAGGTCTATCTTAGTGAATCTACAATGTGTGCTGGAAAAGAATGTGTATTTTTCAGTTATAGGATATAGTGTTCTATAAATATCAATTCGGTTAGGGTGGGTGATATATTGCTCAGATCTTTTATGTTTCTACAGATTTTCTTGTTCTAATCATACTACCACTTTCTGAGGCAGTAGAGTAGTTACTGCAAAGGGGTACCATTCTGGACCCCAAGAGAATGTTCTCGGATATTGCACAAGAAAGAATTCAGGGCTATTCCATAGCCTAAAGTGAAATCAAGTTTATAAAGAAAGTAAAGGAATAACGAATGGCTACTCCACAGGCAGAACAGCAGCTTGGGCTACAGGTCTAAGGATACTTGTAGTTATTTCTTGATTATATGCTAAACAAGGTATGGATTATTCATGAGTTTTCTGGGAAGGGAGTGGGCAATTCCTGGAACTGAGGGTTCCTCCCCTTTTAGACCATACAGGGTAACTTAATGATGTTGCCATGGCATTTGTAAACTGTCATGGCTCTGTGGGAGTGTCTTTTAGCATGTTAATACATTATAATTAGCATATAATGAGCAGTGAGGATGACCAGAGATCACTTTCATTGCCATCTTGGTTTTGGTGGAATTTGGAGGGCTTCTTTACCACAACTTGTTTTGTTAACAAGGTCTTTATGACCTGTATCTTTTGCTGACTTCCTATCTCATCCTGTGACTTAGAGTGCCTAACCTCCCGGGAAGGCAGCCCAGTAGGTCGCAGCCTCATTTTACTCATCCCCTATTCAAGATGGAGTTGCTCTGGTTCAAATGCCTCTGACAGAGTTAATTTCTCCAACTACGAGTGTGGAAATGTTTATTGATTTCTTTAAACCTGAGAAAAAAGATTACAGATGAAGAAATGACATCAAGAGAAGTTAAGTCACTGTTGAAGGTTATATATCTAGCAAATAGGAGAGTCAGCCTTTAAACAAGGCAGGTTGACTCCCTGGCCCATGTTTTTAAACCCCATGCTATATAACTCCTTGCTTGTCTTACCTACCTCGCAGGGTGAAAACGCTTCAAAATGCTATGTACACGTAAGGTGGTAGTCAAGGGGCTGGTTTAGCTCAAACTTGTCCCTACTGCTCACAAGAAAACCCAGATGACTTCATGTTTAGTACTAGCTATTTCCCCAAATAGATGGCACAAAACCATGCCCTATGTATTGTAGTTGCTTACTAACTATATGCAGAATGAATGAGTTTGTGATGACTGAGTACAGGAGCCTAAAGCAAAAATAAAAACAGTGGCTTTCATAGCTTCCAAAGTTAGTCTGAACCACTAAGTAAACATGACAAGGGGGTATGGTGTCTCCATGGCCCACTCCTCTAATTGGAATGCAATGCCCCTGGGGTCTCATTAGTAAGCCTCAAGGTACTTTTACTAAAAATGAATGTGCTGTAACTCCTAAAGTAGTGGCACTCAAGTTTAGTGATGGCTTTGGCTGGGGTGATACCACATGAGCTTCCTTAAACCCTCTGTGCTTAAAAATTCACTGCAACTCTCTAGTTCTCTGGTCAGGCTTCTTGACTTTGGCTGCTTACTGGAGAAGGGTGGAGCTCACTAAGGTCAGTTCTCATGTAGGCTTGGTCTTGACTGTCTAGAATAAACCTGAACTAAACAGGGAACCTTGTAGAAAACAGATGTCTTCTCTGCTTTGTTCTGTTCTGTTTTGTTCTCCCTGTTCTGTTCTCAGTGCCCACATGGAAATCCTGCTGAGTGTTTCTCAGGATCCTGCTTTCAAATGCATCAAGTGGGAGTTTGACATCTGAGTTGATTTTTTCTTTTTCTTCTGATTACCGAGGTATCACTGGAATTCTTCTCCTTAACCATTTTCTTAACCATTACTCATTAGTTGCTGAGAACATGGCCTCTTGGTGATCAGGTGGTCCCACTTCCTTGGTTAGGAGTATTGTATGGCGACTAAGAGGATAGCGTTAACGTCCTGGACACTGGGTTACATTTCCTGTTCTAACCCTTACCGCTGTGTGAACTTGACCCAGTCACTCAGTCATTTGAATCCTCATGTCCCTCATCTGAAAAATAGACAATCATAGTAGCTTCCTCGAAGTGATGTTGAGTGGATTAAGTGAGATGAGGCATTTAAAGTGCTCTGCACAAGTCCCGGCACACAGCAAGTATTCAATAAGTACAAGCAAATGTTACACTGCTGTGGTTACTGGTCTCTCTACTTGTGGTCAAGTTAAAGCTCAGAAACTACTTTCACATGTATTTATTCTTTAGAGGCTTGCTAGATGGACGCCCAGACCATGACAGGGGGCTGTTGAAGGCATAGGACTGCAGCAAAGGATGTGTACTTAGAGTAGAGGGATCAGAGTTTACAGACCAGGGAATGGGCTGCTCTGGCATGTGGTCCGTGATGCCACACTAACTTTTTGCAAATTAGAGCAATCCGAGAGTGTATTTTCATTGAAGTGTAGTCTTAGAACACTTTCTCCAAAACCTAGACTCACCCAGCAATGAGCTTTTTCATGTAAATGAGTTCTTTGAATACCTGAAGCTTAAGAGGCTTTTAGAAGACGTTTTACATTTTAATCTTTTAAGGTAGAAATGTTTCTAAATTGCATTACAGATTCCTTTTGTATTTCAAGACAATGTATTTGAAAACTGGTGAGAGGACAAATTCAGTGTAATGTGAATCTCAATCCCCCACCAGTTCCCAGGAAAAGTAGTGAAGGGAATTAGTAAAGATGTAAAACAACTTACTTGCTTTCTAGCTAGTCTTAAATTCGTCAAATACGAATTCATCATTAAAGTCATCAATATCAGTGAAATTGATTTTTTTGGGGGGGGGCGAATATTTCTATTTTTCCAGCTTAGAATCACAGCACTTGGTCTAACCTTCACCTTTTTGTTGATGCTGACTCGTTTGTGTAAAGTCAAGTCCAATGTTCATGTCTCTAAAGTTATTCAGTGGCGTGAGACTGGAGACAGTAGAAGGGTGTAGCAAATGAGCATTGGTTTTGGAATCAGGCAGATTTGCTTTCAATTCCTGTTATATGGTACTTGCTATGTCTCACCTAGAGCAAGTCATT